GGCTGATAAAAAGACAGAAGGGCCTGCTGCAGTATTAACCTTCTTAGGCATAGAGTTGGACACGTGGCAGCAGGTCTGTAGGCTGCCAGCAGTGACATCTTAGGGTGAGACTGAATCATTTAAGTGGCCAGGAAGCAATAGAGCACCTTAATTTTGCTTGCAGGGTAGTAGCACCCAGTAAGGCATTCATTAGGAGGTTATGCGAGACCATGTGAGCCTCTGCAAACCTTGTCACAAACCAAGATGACTTAGGAAATGAGACAAGACTTGGAGGTGTGGCTTCAACTCTTGGAAGATTTTAATGGCGTATCATTTCAGAGATCTGAAATTAGTATGGGGCGGAGCTTCAGGTGCAGACCGAGGCAGAGAGATTTCTGGGGCTTGGCATTTATTCTGGCATTTATTGATGCATGAAAGTCTGGCCTGATGAGTGGCACAGAATGGGGCTGATGAGAATTTTGGCACTTTTAGAATTCTGCCCTATAGTTTGCGCCCTTTAATTGTGGGCCTGGGAATTAGCCAACACCATGGTGAGGTTTTGGTGCAACAACTTAACAGTTGTTTGCATCATTAACAACTTAATGTTCAAATCAGAGCGGGTTATGCCGCTATGGTTATTTGCATTATGTGCTTTACAATTTAACATTGTTGTATAGGCACAGCATATTCCCGGTCTTGATAACAATATTGCTGGTGCCCTGTCCCACCAACATTGAGTGGTTCAGGGTTGGCTCCGGGAGCTTGCAGGTTGCCCAAGGTTCTTCCAGAAGAGGTATGGAAGATTGGAGAAGGGAAGCTGCAAGTGTATAGGGTTCACACTTGTCCCAAGTACTCGCTGCGCATATGCAGCAGTGAGTGAGAAGTTTCGGTTGGTAGAACATTTGGAACCAGCATGGCCAGTGACAGTGGAGCATCTGCAGCAATTTGCAGTTTATCTGCATAGGAAGGGTCTAGCCCCAATTCAATTCAGGACAAAATGTCTGCTTTGGCATTTCAAGCTAAGGTAATAGGGGTTCAGGATTCCACAGTTGATTTTAGGGTTAGGAAGATGATTGAAGGGAGGAACAAGGAGCAGATGAGAGCAGCCAATGACAGGTCCTCTATTACTCCAGGCATATTGGTTAGATTTAGCAGATTGTGGAGTACCATATGGCAGGACGACTATGAGGCTACACTTTTTCAAGCAGCCATGTTAATTGCAATTTTTGGAGCTTTGGGGTTTAGACAGGTAGTGGCAACTGCAAAAATGATATCTCATGTACGGCCTTAGAGTTGGAGGATGCAACTAGTTTAAATTAAATTCGGCTATGCATCCGTTGGTCCAAGTCGGACTTGGTTCATAGGGGGACTTACATTATATTGTGTCCTTGCACCATCCCATATATTTGCCTGGTACAGGTGTGGGAGACATTTTTGAGGAACAAGGAGCAATCATGGGGATACCTGTTTTGCCATAGTGATGGTTCCCCATTAACCAGATACCAGTTTTGGAAGCTTACCGACTTGCCTTGCAATAAGTGCTTTGCAGGGTTGGCATTTCAGAATGCATTCATTTCGACAGCAGCCATGCTAGGTTACAGCTCAGAAGCCATAAAGAAACTGGGGAGATGGTCATCAAAGAGATAGTCTCTTTAGGCTGGCATGTGGCTGTGTTTTTGTTTTTGTCTTCAGGTATTGGCACACCTGTGCAGAGATGGAGTCTACAGTTGGTGGGCCATAGTTTTATCTTTTAGGTAGATAAGTTTGCTGCCAGGATGACAGAGGGCCAAGATTTAGGCCTCAGAGAATCCACCTAGATGAATTGGAAAGGATGGAGGGGCATGATGTGGGCAGAGTTTCAAGAAGCAATCTATACTGGAGTTTTGTGTCTGCCCCCTGATACCTTGCTGGTCCATTTAGGAGGCAATGATTTGGCCAAGCCTTATGGCAAAGCTTGCATCATGAATGTGTTAAGGGTCCTGCAAGGCTGGAAAAGCAGGTTCCCTGCAACTAGAATAATTTGGTCTACCTTATTCTGCATTACATTTAGAAAGCAGATGGTGACCCACAGTGCCTAAACTGGGCCAGGAGGAAAATCAATAGGGAATTTTGTAGGGCAACGCGCCAAGTGTTCAGTTACAGGTCATTCACATATCTATTTGGATAGGCCAGAGTTGTACAGAGGTGATGGTGTTCACTTATCTGAGCAAGGTATGGAGATTGTAATGATCACCTCTCGCTACAGAGAGTATGATGCTGGGCAAGGAGACACTGTGAGCACAAAACTACCACCTTTATCTCTGAGGCAGGTCTTCTAAGCCTCAGAAGTGCATAGTCTAAGTCTCATGGACTATCTTGACTTTAAAAAAGCAAAAAAGCAAAAGCAGTGTGTGCTATTTATATACCGCCCCATAGCACTTCAAGCACTCTCTGGGCAGTTTACAAGTTAATTATGCAGGCTACACATTGTTCCCCCCCCCCAGCGAGCTGGGTACTCATTTTACCAACCTCGGAAGGATAGAAGGTTGAATCAACCTTGAGCCAGTTACCTAGGATTGAACCCCGGGTCATGAGCACAGTTTTAGCTGCAGTACAGCAATTTAACCACTGTGCCACGAGGCTCAGTGAAAGAAACATTTGCTTACTTCCAAAGCAATTAAGCACAGACTTTGTGTTTCCTTTGACAACACAACAGCCCTGCAAGGTTGTTGTTTAGTTGTTAAGTTGTGTCCGACTCTTCATGACTCTAAATGACGTATAACAGAACACTTGTCTTGTGAACAGAACCAGAACTTATTTATTGAAATGAAGCAGATTGAATAATAACAGAAGTTTCTCAGATACACATTATGCATAAGCAATTCATGACAGTTCTCTTGGTACATACGTCTTTTCTCTTGCAACATCATTACCACCTTCTCTACCTATTTTCTAACCAGCTCTATCTCTCTCAGTATCTCATCCCAATCTCTGTCTGATTAACCAGCCCTATCTCTATCAGTATCTGTTCCCTCTCTTTCTGACTAACCAGCCCTATCTGACTCCTCTTTCTCCCACCAAGCCTCATGTAGCTGCTGACTCTTTCTCCCCAGTCCTCTCATAGGTTCATGGAAATCCGCTCATGAAAATGAATGGCATGAGTGATATGGGGGATCACCACATTCTTTACCCCTAAGCAAAACTGTATTTCATGAGGGAAAACCTTACAGTTTACCCTTATGAACAATTGAACAAACAGGGAAAATTACATACAAAACACCTACAGTACCATCATAATAATATGCTTACCAGTTATGTTCTAAATCATATACCATATTTTAACATATAACACATTATATTTACTATATACTTATACATACCTTATACTACAATTTTCTCTCTATTACTATGTTTACTAGACCAAACTTATTACTTTAAACATTTAAAACAATCCATAGGATTATAAACATTTGCATTACTCACATTAAAACAAATTACATTACCTCTACATTGATAAGGCTACTCACCATTATTATTTTCCATCCCTATACACCTTTCAGTTCATCAGCATCCAATGAAACATTGCATTTTGATCGTATTTCATAACAAGTACACAAACAGAACATTTAATACATTACAAACTCCTTTTTCTTTCTTTCTTCACCTATTAATCATTTGGCCTCCATAACAGTGCATCAGCCACCACGTTCTGGGTCCCTTTCACGTTGTGAATTTCAAAATCAGAGTCCTTTAAGAGTAGGGCCCACTTCATATGTTTGTTGTTGTTGGACCGAATAGTCCTTAGCCACAGAAGTGGGGAATGGTCAGTGCATAACACAAACTCTCTCCCCCAAATGTAGGGCTTCAGCTTTTGCAGCATCCTTACAGTAGATAGACACAACCTCTCAATGGCAGACAAATGTTTTTCACTAGGTTGGAGCCTCCACTAGATGTAGACCTCCTACTGTAGCTGTAGACCTCCTACTGACAGCTACTGTACTGTAGCTGTCAAACCTACAGTTCAGTGCATTCCAATGGGGGGAAAAATTCACCAAAAATTAACAAAGACTCAGAACAAAGCCAAATTAAGTTTGCAAAGGTTTTACAAGGTGCACTAACGATCCCAAGCATTTAAAACAGTTTTTGAACATTTTAAGACACTTTAAAAATAGTGAAAACGGACCTGTCAAAACCATTGAAATGCAGTGAAACCTATTCAGTGCATTCCAATGGGGGAACCGCGTTTTGCTTAGCGATGTTTCCTATGGCGATTTTCGCTTAAGGACGGTAATCCATTCCCATTGGAACGGATTATCCGGTTTTCAATGCATTCCTATGGGAAATGGTGTTTCACTTAGCGATGTTTTCCCATAGCGATGGTTTTTTTTGGAACCAATTAACATCACTAAGCGAGGCACCACTGTGTGTGTGTGTGTGTGTGTGTGTGTGTGTGTGTGTGTGTGTGCGCGTGTGTGCGCGCGTGTGTGTGCGTGTGTGCGTGTGTGTGTGTGTGTGTCTAAATGTTTAATATAATATATATTGTCCATCTGGCTGCCAAGGCCACTCGGGATGGTTTACAACAAATATATATATTCAATGTCCTTAATACAATTCTATTACTTTTCTTTCTACTTACCATTAATTCATATAGAAATTACATTTTTAATTACCTCTCATACTTATACATAACTAGAAGATTTTATATAACAAGTTATATCTTTCTTCTTCTCCATCTGTTAGTCTTCTGGTCTCCGAGATAACGTGTTGGCCACCACATTTTGAGTTCCTTTTACACTCCGAATCTCAAAATCAAAGTCCTGCAGAAGTAGGGCCCATCTCATTAGCCTGTTGTTATTTGCCCTTATTGTTCTCACCCACAGAAGTGGGGAATGATCAGTGCAAAGTACAGTACAAAATGTCTTCCCCATGTGTATGGCCTGAGTTTCTGCAATGACCATACGATTGCTTAGACACTCTTGTTCAATTGTGGACAAATGTCTCTCACCCGCCTGCAGTTTCTTACTGAGGCAAGTCACCCGATGATGGTTTCCGTTGTCATCTGCCTGGCTCAGCATGGCTCCCAACCGGATGTTGGATGCATCCATGAAGACGGTGAACTCTGGAAATCTGGAGCTCTCAGGACAGGACCGGTCATCAACGCAGTCTTCAACTTACTAAAGGCCTCCTCGCAGATAATAAAAGAAGTTCTCTTAGGAGTTGGAAATTGGTTAAAATAATCCATAAATTATAGGATAATATAGGATTTAATACAGATAAAAGGAAAGGTTTCTTCACATATTGCATACTTAAACTATGGAAGTCACTGACATGACATAGTGGAGATTACAAGTTTGGACAGCTTCATGACCAGTGATGAACATTCATTTTCAGTTATTATTTTGGTTTTACATAATCTTCAAATGTTCTAGAGAAATTTGACCTCTTATACTTTCTTATCCTGTCATTAAAACATTTTTAACTCAGTCCTCTCGTGCAAGTTTTTTTTAATTTGGAAGTCATATGTGGCTATGCAGAAGCTTCATGGCAATTTCCCAAGTGCATACAAAGAAAATATAATAATGTGGTTACTGTGTCCTATTGAGACAGTAACTCTTAAAACTTTTACTGTATTTAAGAGTTTGATACAACAGATGTGGGAGTGTGAAGAATACGAGATAAATTCTTTGTTCATGCCAGTTCAAGTTGTCTTGACAATAAAGCATCTTGCCAAATAATTTTCAAAACACAGATGATCCTATCTCCAGAACAAGAGCAAGGGAAGGATGGTTTTCCCTCCCCTGCCCTTGCAATTTATGCATAATGTCTCTGAGTGAAACTAGTGTCCTTTCCCTTTGAGAATAAAAGCACCTGGACACAGCAATCTTAAAATGTATAATTGCATATTTTCTGACAAAATCATTCTTACCATCACTAATTCAGATGTGAACTGACAATTTCCCTAAATGGTAGGCAAGTTATATTTCAAATATAGATAATTCATGACTGGAACAGAGGCAGTACTTCACCGCTGAATTTGGGTTGAGTCAACTCTCCCCCTTGCTTGGAGCATGAAAAACACCCACTTTCAACGAAGATTGTTCATCATTTATAAATAGTCTCAGGAGCACCAGTTTCAAAATTGCTGCTATAAAAATAATGCAACTTAATTTTGTTTTAAGATAAAATGTGTCTATACATTTAAATCTTGATATATTGTCAAATGTGGAATTCCTTCAAGTCTGGTTATCTCTCCTTTTAAAAAAAAAAGAGGCACACATACAATATACTAAATACTTTTACTGCATTATATTTCTGTGAAATATTTAAATGTCTTTACAATACTTCTTTTTAATGTTTCTTTCAATTCTTGTTTTTCTGTACAATTTTTCCTAAAAATTTAATGCTGGTGCATCTACATGTAGTTTATTTACCTAAGATGTGGTCTTCTTTGTTTCAGCTATCTATGAACTCTCCTGTGAAGCATATAAACACTTGGGCAAAGCAACTGGTTCTTATTGGATAGATCCAGATGGCAGTGGTCCATTGGAATATTTGAAAGTTTACTGTGACATGACAGGTAAATATATTATGAAATAATTTTTGAAGAGGTAGCTAGCTGTGATAGTTTTAGCAGAAATTTTTAAAGACGTTAACAGGAGAGTAGGAATGATGGGACTTCCCTTTATCTTTTCAGTTCACGGGAGCTGGGTGTGAGCTGTTCTCCTTTAATAATGCCACTGGGAAAGTGTGGCACAATCCCAAAGCACCACTAGAAGAAGGGTGTGGTAAACTAGTTCTAAGTACTTTATATGTAGAAAATCCTGAGAGGGTCACCATCTAACTTAATGGTGTGTAATTGCTGAGAAGTCTGAGTTTCCTTAAAAGAGGGCACCTGGGATGGAGGAGGGGAGAAAAAAAGAGCAAACAAAGTGGCAACACTACAACTTTTAAAAATAGGTTTGCTTAATGTGAGCCACACACAGCAGATATCTCTCCTGTTGGAATCATTGATATCTCATGTAAGGGGGGAATTCACCACGGAGACTGATTTCATGCCCCTTCTTTACATTATGTGACTTAAGTACCACACTGAGACATTTTAAAAAATGCTATAATAAGAAATCTCTTTGAACACAAATCCCTAAAAAGAGAGATTATTATGCAAAAACAAGAAAAATGTTACGGAGTATTCTTGGAAATTATTATTATTGAAACTAGTATTGTCGATTAAAAGGCAAAGGTTTAGGCCAAGGCCATGAGTAGCTAAGTAACCAAACAGACACTGCTAAATTTGTCAATCAAGGTTGCTGTTGCTATTTGCACTTCTGCACTTCATCTGAATTGGTATTCATTAGCAGAGGTCAAACTGAGAGCTTACATTAAGATTTTGTTTACCATAATGTGTTCCCTTCTGTTTTATGGTCACTTTGCTAAAATGAAGCAGGCTCTGTTATAGACTTTAGAATTATTTAGACTTGGAAGTGTTTTACTGCTTAATGATGCATGTGGATATTGTATTAGCTGTTTGATGTTCTATTTTGTTATCAAGGTTCTAAACACTTTTTTTCTTTATCCACCTCTTTCTTTTTGTAAAAGCCTGTGCTTTAGTGGCTTGTGGATGTTGATATGTAAATCATCTTCACACAAAAAAAGATGTACCTATCACAACTTACCGTATTTTTCGCTCCATAAGACACACTTTTTCTCTCCAAAAAGGTGGGAGGGAAAGTACATGCGTCTTATGGAGTGAATGCAGTAACCCAGGGCTCAGCCACCACCACCCAAAAGCCTCCCACTGCCATGCTGGGAGGTCTCTGAACTGGCAGCAGAGACTGCTTTCTGTTTGGACCTCACCATTCTGCACTGCTAGCTTTCCAGGATCTGCTTCCTGCAGCCCACCTGGAAAATCAGCAAGGCAAACAGGCCTATGGCAGCAAGCAGTGAAAATAGCCAAGGACCAAAGGGTGGTTCTAGAAAGACCAAGGGAAACCACAAACACAGTCTCCCACTTAGGCAGTTGACTTTCCCACATTTGGGGAAATCACAGGGGTCAGCTCATCCGAAGTGCAACAATGGTATCTCCCCTGCCAGGTCTGAGTTTGAATGGCCCCTAAGCCTCCTGGCCCTTTGTGTGCACTATCCCCCAAAGGCATGGTGACCGCCGGCTGTACCTCCTGATCAAAACAGTGCTGCACAGCCCCAGTCCTGAAAGAGGCCAGGAGAGCTCTTCAGTGTTTTGGGGTGCCCCACAGGACCCCCATCAGGGGCTAGATGTTCCTCCCACAATCCTCCAGTGCACAGATATTAGCATATCTGCCTGCTTGCATCACCCAATTGGCTATTGGAGAAGCAAAGCAGGAAGGAGGAGTCTCTTTCCCTTCAC